CATGGTGCTATGAGTCTGGAAGAGACTGGTTATGGGTACCACTTCTTGTCTTCAGTTGTGATTGAGCAATATCAGCAAGTGCACTTTGTATCTTTTCCAGAAGCATATCCCCTCGGTAAACAACATCTTCCAGACATGTAGCAGCTTCATGATTTTCTTCTTCTAGCTTATACAAGCTAGCAGCCTTTATAAGACAACAAGTTTTTAAATCTTTAGAGTTCAGAAGGAAAAAAAATGGTACTAATTTTTAAATCTGGATCACTTTCCAACCACTGTGATATATTTTTCAGTAGAGTAGGAATTCTAAAAACCAGATAACTTGGAAACTATTATTCTACTCTACATTCAGAATTCTACCCTCCTTTCATTCTTTGCAAGGAAAAGGGACAAAACAAGGAACATTCTGAAATGTTCCTCAAAGTGAGGCTTCCTTGTAACTCAAAACTGGACAACTATATTTATTCAGCACCACCTTCAATAGTCTATTCTAGCTGGAACTGACAAAACACCCAACTTAAAATTTAATATTAAAAGTAACTTTCAATATTGTAACAAACTATCAAATACCTCCTTTAAATCAAAATTCTTTACTACTAGTAAAATTCTCAAATGAGTTTGTTTTTACCTGTAAAGCAGCTGTAGATTCTTCACTGGGTAAGGAGTCTATCAAAACATCAATGTCTTTTGCTGTTCGTGCAATCAGTGCAGCAAAAAGCTGGGCATATTCTAGAGAAAGACATGACTAAATTAGGTTTTAAAAGAATCTCAAATTCCCCCAAACAAATTTAATTTAAAGTTAATGAAACAAAGAAAGTCATAACTAATGATTAAAGTCTAATTTTGACATACCAATCTCATCACATATTTAACTTAATGCTAGCTTAAATTGGAAATTATGCATAATGTATGTCATTTCCTTTAACAGGATAATATGGTGATCAGTTGAACAAAATTTGTAAATGTGATGGTCTCCTTATTAAAGTCCTTCAAGTAAAATTCAGTTAAATTCAAACAATTGATTCTCTAGAGGAGGATCCATCTGCTATTGATATGAACAGAATGATGAAATATTGTGTGAATTGACTAATAAATTCATTTATTTTATGATAAAATTTGTAGTAACATTCTCCAACAACATTTTTAGAAAGAAATCATAAATAAGTTGAGTTTCTCAGTGAATCTAATAAAGGATTACAAGAAATTTCAGACTCAAACTAAGAGAAGCTATAGGAAACTTATTTACCTTCTGTAGGATTAGCTGGCTGGTCTTTGTTAATTGCTGTCTGAATATTATTAAAAGAGGCAGGAGGACCACATTGTTGCAACACTCCAATGGCATTACAAAACTGATCTGCAAGCTTGGGCCAAAGAAAACATTTAAGGTTAGAAAAGATTTACCAATTTTAAGGATTTTATCAGTAATAGCAACAAGTTTTAGTAATAATAATCTCTGATCAAGGGAATAAAACAGAAGTAATTTTGTATAAAATAAACTAGTGATGATTAATAACAATTATTATTTTTGGAGGATGCTGGGGATTTACCCCAGGACCTTGTCCACATTAAGCATACACTTTACCGCTGAGCTACACCCCAACCCCACTAAATGTTTTAGTTGTACAAAGAAACCAAGTTTGGTATCAATCTAGTTGAAACAATTAAAAAGAAATATAGAATAACCTTTGTTTTCTTCTGAAAGTAATAATTTTGTCAATACCTATTAGAAGCAACAAATAAAGACTTTTGGAGGGGCAGTGGTGGAAAAAAGCAGATTTGGTAAATATCTAAGTATAGCTGAAGTTTAATAAACAATGTGTTATTCATACACAAAGTATGATTCCTTTTCTCACAGAGTATAATTTCAAGTGTAAAGAAACAATGAGAAAACAACTGCTAGAAAAGAAACCTTAGGTAATAAGAAATATATAATTCTCCAAAACTCTAGTTGTAAATTCTTGGCACTAAAAATGTATTTCTTAAACAGTTTTGAAAACTGAGAATATCAATTCCTTACCATCTCCAAACTAAACACTAATGTACTCCCCACCAACTTCTCTCATTAGTCCTGATCCCTCAAACCTCAATTTCTATTAATAATCAAAACATAAGAATTTCCACTGAGTTTCTCTTCCTTCATTTCAT